GTTTTAAAAATCATACAAATCGTTTTGCCAATGTTTTCAGCCGGTAATGTTAGTGTACATTTTGGCCCATGAAATGACGTTTTTCGGGTGCCTCTCTTAAAACGGCATTTTCTCGAAAACCAAAATATATTTTACTTCAAAAACTATTCAGTGTATTTTAGGATACAATAAAGTATATTTGGACAAAATTTGAGCAAAATCGATTTTTGAGCCGTGGCCACTAAATATCAGATTTGTTTGATTTTTATGGACATGCTCTCTTAAGTGGAATTTCATCCTGTAACAGCAATTGAAAAAAAGAAAATAATTAAAATCAAAAGTTAGTAGACAATTTCAACAGTAGCATCAGTAAAGACTGATAATGACAAAAGAACTAAGTATATATAATAGAGTGTTCATGGCTCTGTATGATAGGGTTCATAGTTCAAGTATGCCTTTCTTGTTGTGGTCCCTTAGCCTCCGTAAGGCCAGGGGAACTTTCTTCGCAGCAGGGATTGTGGCTGGACTGACTTTAGGTATCGCTGGTGTTGGTGGTCCAGGGGTTTCTGCTGGCTGTGCTGGTTCTGGCCCAGGGGGTTGAGGTTTTTCAAGATTAGCGGGCAACTGATTCCTGCATGATCTGGATCTGCTGGGGTTGGTGGCTCTGCTCCACTTGTGGGTTGATTTGCCAGGGTTGGGAAACTTGGCTTGGGGACCGTCGCTTGGTTGGCTTTCCCTGTGTATCTGAGGTCATCGCTCAGTGTGCGGAGTGGTGGTCTTGCCTGAAATKGGATATATTTTCTAAGAAATTTGCGGTTCCTGAGGGTTATTCGTCCGGAGCCATCAACGCGTGTGGCGTATTGGTCGAATTGTTTCACTTCGATGACGACCCCTGTCTTGTCCCATCGTGTAGGGTGTGTTCCAGTCTGGTTTTGTATCCGGACATGGTCACCTACGGCCAGGGGAGGAAGCCTTTTTGTATGCTCAGCCCATTTCTCAGATGCTTGCATGTGGCGGTTTCTTAGGGCTTCTTCCCTCAATGCAAGGGTGTCACGCCACGTGGGGTGGGGTGTGTAGCGCCCAGGAATGATGGGGATGAAGTCTTTGATGGGACGTCCAAAGACACACTGTGCAGGGGACAGCTTGGTGTTTGGGTCAGGTGTATTGCGGTACTGTAGGATGGCCTGTTGGAACGAGTTGGTGTTGAGGTTGCCTTGTGGATCTGTGTTGTTGGTGATTAGCCTCTTAATGGTTTTCAACCCTATCTCAGCCCTGCAATTTGAATGTCACAGATGAGAGGCGGTGGTGTACTCCCCAGTCTTTCAGCAGTTGCTGAGTGGTGTGTGCTATAAACTGTGGTCCTCCATCGGTGGCACATTCATCTGGGATGCCATACGTAGCAAAGGTGTGTCGAAGGCATTYGGTGAGGCCATCGGAGCCATCACGTCCTCTTTTGACAATGGGCCAGTTGGAGTATCTGTCTACTACAAGGAGKTAGTTGGTGCCTTTGTACTGGAAGTAATCAGCACAAATACATTGGAATGGATATGCTGGTATTACTGTAGGGTATGGTGGGGCACTGGGTTGAGAAGGTGTCATGCGGTTGCAGTGAGAGCAGCGCTCCMTCAGTGCTGTGATAGCGGCTGTGATGCCGGGCCAGAATACTGTGGACTCTGCTCTGGCTGTCATTGATGTCACACCTTGGTGGGCAGAGTGTAATACAGTGAGTATCTCATCTCGGAGTGAGGGTGCTCAAGCATGTTAAGGCATGGTCTAAAATCAAGGATCGTACCCACCACGTTGATTTGATCCCGTATCCCGCGCGCCTTCCCGAGAAAGCATGACAACACAAATCCAAGATGGCGGTCGAAGGAGGATCGAATCGATTAGTACACGTGTAGCCTTTTCTAAGTTATTATCGACAAAAAGAGCTTCTTTACTCGTTGTTCATGGTGAAAGAATTGTTTCTGATACTTCTTTGACGGAGGAACCTATTTTGGTTTGACGTTTTTGAATAAAAGCCCAAACAAGGTCTGGCCGTTCTATTTGAAATTTGAAATGTTGAAGACAAACATATCACTTTGACTGGAGTGGAATTACAAATGCAGAATAGTTTTTGTCGTAATCAGGTAAGAAACTTGAGTGTTTGCGTATATTTTTACATTAATATGCCCATATGTTGCATGGTGTTAAAGTTTATGACTTTAAATTGAACATTTGATTCAAACAAACTCATGTAGGCTAATAAAGCATACTAAGTTAAATGTACATATTTGCAAGCTAATGACCAACACTTTTATTATTAGCTTATTTATAATTTTTGGTCGTACAACTTAGACTTATATGGGTTCAATGGTCTCAATAATTATTATTATATTTAACAATTATTGTACTTAAGCTGCAGGTCATTGTCAGTTATACACCAAAACACAAACACTCTGCTGCCTATAATATATGTTGGACATATATAATATATCCTTTTTTATAGCTTTTGTTTTTCCATCACACAGGGGAGAATACAAAGGATATAAGCTTATATGTCTTATTGGGGAGTAGACTTTTTGTGTTTTGGTGTGTGTTCTTCTATTAAATGTATAATGTATAATTTATTATAGACTCAACCAACTATTAATTTTATACAAGTTCTATGTTATATGCATGCACTACCTCTCTAGCTAATTCACCATTTATATAGACAATTGTAACCGCACACTACAGTCCACCAATATTTATTTACAAGTTAGTATATATACATGTTATTCATCTCACTAAAGTACACAAATTATTTAACTGTTATAATTTATACAAAATCTAGTCCAGTTAGAGTGGCCAGTTATAGATTTGAAGTCATTAACACATACAATTATGTGCCTTTCATACTAATATACCCTTGACCACTCTGTGGACAAAAGTATAGGGCATAAAATAAGTGACTTATGGAATGATTATGCTTGCATCCTAAGCATAATGAAAGGGCTTTTACCATAAAGCACTTGGTTTTTGAAAAACTTTGGAATGATTACATTACATTTATACTGCAAAATAGCACTGAATAAATAAGTATTAGTAATAATATATTTCACAGGTTCATAAAAACCATTGTATCATGTACCTGTTTTATTGTTTTGTTGTACATTTTAGGGTTATTCATGTATGTATGTAATTTATAAACTGATTGTTTACATGCATACATGTCTTGCACCTCTTTAGTTTAAAACCTTGGTTCTAAAGCTTGGTCCCCTGCACTAGCTCATTTAGCATAAGCAGAAGATTAGCAAAATCTTCTGCTCTTCTTGTTCTTAAATGTGCTTGTAGTGGCCATGCATAAATAACTATTAGATATTATATAATATACATTAATTATTGTCTTTAAATAATCCTGGTATTCTTGAACGGGTGAGTTCTATCAGAAGTTACTATTATTTTTGAGGTTATATTATATACAATGTACATTGTTCTCTTCATCAGAATTTCACAAATGGACTGTAATTTTCCATGACTCAAGGAGTTTTAAAGCAATCTTTTTTCTCTTGACCATATCTTTAAATTCTGCACTCATAATGTAGTCATTGTCATTTGGAATCCGATTGTTCTCTATCAAAAATTTTTCATCAAAGCATTTCAATTGATTGTTCAGAGGTTTCACTGCTTTGAGTGTTTGGCTCTGTATCTTTATCAATACTGAATCATTTTTTTGCATAAAAATATGATTTTGGATTTGATGTTATTTTTTGTTTCAGTTTGTCAAGCTCTAATACCTCCTCTGTTCTCCCTATTAGTTGTTCAACTGCTAGGGCAGTTTTTGACTTTAAATGAGTATAACTATCATTGGTATTGGTTTGTGTTGAAATTTCATATTTTCTTCTTTTAGGTAATGGCTCTTCATCACAACCAAAAAGCGGTCTTGTAGCTATTTCAACACCAGGTATGACTTCTTTGTTTGTTTGTACTTTAGGAGCAGTGTCAATGTCATTGTTGACCTCAGTTGCATCATAAGCTGCATGATCTGTGCTGTCATCATTCTTGTTTAACATGTGAATCTCTAATTCACTGTTGTTGTCATTTTCAAAGATGATCTGTTGTACATGTAGGTTATCATGTGGATCTGACTCTTCATCTTCTTCTTCATATTCTTCATAGTAGTTATTAACATCTTGATTCTCATCATCACTATCTTCTAACATGCTCTCTGAACCATAGACATTTTCTTCTCTAGCATCATTGATCTGGTTTAGGTGATGTTTTACCAAGTCACTCTCTTCTTCTACTTCTTCTACTTGATCTTCTCTTCTTTCTCTCTGATAGACCAGCTTCCCTTCAGTGTTACGGATCTTGTAGCATGGTAGGTTTTGTGGGGTAGTCTGGCAGATGTCCCAGGCATTGGATAGGTTCTTGCATACATCCTTGAGACTTTTGGATCGCAAATGGGATAGCTGGGGTCCTTCTTTCCTTTGTTCAGGTTCTGTTGGCCCATCAAGGAACTCCACAGAACCATCTTCGTGCCACTTCCACCAGACGTCTGGCCCTGGAACCAAGTAGTCTGCAATCTTCTGCATATGTGCTTGCCACAGTCTGGCTGACTTTGTCATAAGCTCTTTGCTTATGATTGTGTTCGTTGCTGGAGGAAGGTTTCGGGCCAGACGTGAGATCTCTTTTTCCTGTGTTTGGAAACTGGCCCTTTGTGGTGACAAGTCTTCAGCTTGGACATGGAGGAAGGCATTGGGCACTAGATCGTCCACGTGCTTGTTCCATGTCTTCCTAGTGATGTCTTCCACTCTATCAAAGTACCGCTCAAAAAGCTCTGCAGATATTGACCGTAAAGAAATCAGACGGTATATCACAGGAGCATGGTCTACTGCCCCATGATAGTAAATACCGCAAAGCTTTCTGAGGGACATGGCTTTAGGTGGTGTGAGGGTCTTCTGGATTGCTTGGCCATGAAGGAAGGAGATGTTGTATAGGCGTAAAACTGCTCTTTGAGTTCTCTTGCAATCATTTTGGTAGTAGTATCATTTCTGAGAAGAGTAAGAGGATATTCCTTTCATTTTCTCCAAGTAGGTTGTTTTCTGCAAGAGATATGGTCATCTTCAGAAGAGCTTTCCTGTAATCAGTTGCTCTCAACTTATCTTTATTCAGAGCCAAGGAAATGATTTCTTTGAATGTCAACAAAAAGTCAACATCTGTGATATGGAGGGGCAATTCAGCGAAGATGTTGGCGATATGGTTGAGGCATGTATGTAGGGGCTCAAAGCAGAGAACCTCATATTCTTCAAGATTTAGAGACTTAAAGCTGAGACTTTCTTCTCCAAATAGCAAGGCAGGGAGTCTGCTTGTTCCCCTTAGTATTTCTGTTAGCTTTGCTTGTAGTTCTAGGGCAGTACCAGCTGGTCTAACTCCTCTTGATGTAAGTTCTTTCCTTAACTGACCAACTTTCATCTTTTTGAAAGGTTCAGGAGTGTTACATTTGCCAAAATGTCCAGCAAGTACAAGGTGTTTCTTTTCTTCTAAAGACTTGTATTCCTGGTATTCCATGTAATCATATTCTGAAGCTCTTCTCATATCCCCTTGGCAACCACAGCATGCGTAATGCCCTCCTTTTTGGGTGCCGTCCTCAAACTCAACAGCAGGACTGTCGCCATTCATCAACCTCATCTTCTCATTTATCACAATATCTTTCCCATTAACATTCATTTCTGATTGTTTAAACTGTCTTAAACATTCTCTTCTTGTTGGTATAAATGAGAGTTGGTCACAGTCCTTCGCACCAGATACACCGATCAAATATAGGTGGGGGGCTTCAATTGATGATTGTGTATCCAAATCTTGACCTGTCTTCTGTTTGTATTCATGTGAGCTGAGGTGTATAGCAGGATCATAGATTTCCCTTACCAGGAATAACATAAACCCTGAACCAGCAATGGAGGAGTGATCATGCCATAGTAACCAGTTTCTTGTCTGCTCACATGTTTTCAAATGTGTACGGAGTAAGGCATCAGACATTCCAGCAGTGTTTTCGCCAAGAATGCTGAGCTGTTCTTTGATGTCATCTATGGGCATGTCTTCATATTCCTGGTTACTCCTTATGGTCTTCATGAGGTGGTGGTTTTCTTTTAAACTCTTCAGTGCTATGTCTTTTAAAGAATTTGTTTCAGTTGGAGACTGCTTCTTTGCATTGGTACAGATATGTGTCCTCCTGGCTGTTTTCTTTTTGCCCGACGTATTCTAGATTTACCTATAAAATTGTCAATGAGTGATTTTTAAGACACAATGCAGATTTATGGCCAGGTGTATAATCATTCATTCTCTTACCCAGATACTTCTCAGTTTCCTTATAGAAAATCAAAGGGTCTCGTCTTAGAATCTGATACAATACTGTATGTRCATTGTACATGTATATTGCATGCTGATTGGTTATTAGGAATTTTTGAACCAATCAAATGAAAAAACCATTGTGCTATTGTTACACCATGTAAATAATGTACTTAATTCATGATCATCATATCAATTATAATGATTTAATATTAATTCATGTGATTTTGTACTATATTTTAAATTATGTACAATACCTTCAGATTCTTTGACAAACTTTGAGATATCTACTCCTTTAGACTTTAGATATTCTTTAAGTATCTGCCCTGCATTAGATGGTGACGTTTCAGAACTTCCATGAATGTTATATTCTCTGGCTTTTTGAGTCCAGTTGACAGGTTTATCACAAGGCCAGTTTTTCACATCTTMCAAAAGCTTTTCTAGATCTCCATTGATGGTTGTTGGGATATGGGACTTCTTTTTGGGATTATTGATGGTCTTGTCTACTCTGGCTTTAGCTTCAGAAAAAGACTCAAAAAAGTTATTGAGTCTTTGTCTTTCTCTGCTTGCAAAGGAGGTCCTTTGCGCGAGGTGGCATTCTACATCATTTTTTTCCCACATCGGCTCCATTTTCGTCTTGAATGATTTTTGCAGCTTCCTAAAGTCGTTCTTTCTTTCTATTGTACTCTTTTTATCTTGGAGGTTTGCTTCAGGTGTCTTTATCAGAATGTCTCGAAAGGATGCCCCTAAGTTTTCTTTGCATGTTTTGTCAATCTCATTATATACCATCTCCCCCACTTCACGTAGCTCTGAACTTGTTGGTTTTGCTTTTATTGGTATTATAGCATTTGTTGTCTTGCTGATGATAGTAGTAAGTGGACTTCTTTTCTTATTTTTAAAATTCTTGTTTTCAGGGAATTACTCAGCAAAGGGTGCATGAATAGTGTTGCATACTTGACAGTCCTTCAAAGTGTGCAGTTTTTTTCGAGCAAGGGATGTCTTCGACCATTTACTTGAAGAGAATTGATTAATGTAGGCATGCTTCTCTTTTGGCTTTCTCCAGTTAGCTATTTTCTCGTCAATAGATTTGTAACTCTTAAGAAATGTAGCTGTCAGAGTAAATTAAAATCACATTTAACCTTGTATTCTAAGTGTGCATGCATTGTTATGATCATTAATTTCATTCCACTACTGTCTCCTGATTCTTACCTTTGTCTAGTTTTAAGCGCTCAAAATCTTGAAAGTGTTGTGAATATAGGGCAAATCGCTCATCTAAAATATTGATCTTGTGTTTTGTCTTTGATACATTTA